AGAAACAACTTGGTCAAGAATTACCACTTAATAAACAAAATCGTAAACGACATCAGGTTCCCGGGATAAGAGACATCCGAGGACAAAATTCTGTCAACCGAACATTCACAGAAACTGAAGCTTACAGAAAAACAACTCACGAAGGTCAAATACTCAATTATGACAGCAACAACGCAGTAGCACACAAAAAGAGGTGAATACGACCATTATTCAAGAGAACCAGGCAGAACACTCGCTGAGGACGCCGCTGGGTGACATCGTGCTTTAGTCCCTCGAGCGGAACTCGAAAGGGAAGCGGCGAGTGGGACGTCCAAGGGTGACATGGAGGAGATCGTGTGAAGAAGAGTTGAAACAGTATGGACTAACATGAATGCAAGTAAAAAGTACAGCAGAAGACAGAAGCAAGTGGAGACGTGCAGTTGAAGCCCTATTTTCCACTAGGAACCCAAGGGAACAATAACAATAATAATTAGCTAAATCCAGCTTGGTAAATAATACATTATGAGCTGAACCATTGAAAAACCAGGGAGTACTGGATAGCTGCTTCGTGCTAGTTCGGGACTCTTGACGGTTCGCATCCAACAGGGTTCCAGCTCAGGACCTTTTGATTACTAACGGAAAAAGTGTAATTATTTCATTTTATCTTAAATTTATTACAAACATAAAATATTTCACATTTTCATTGTTCACTTACAAGTCCTGTCCCATAGTAGACACCAATTGAAACAGCAAAAGTTACAACCAAGACAGTAACATGGTATATGAAAACTGCAATGTAGTAACGACGCAGATCAATTGGTAGTGTTGCACCTATTGTGATTAGTAAGATGTACAATACCACAGCTGATCGCGTCACTATAAGTCCCCATGTAAGCGTTTGCCCAATGAACGGTATTCCTGTGAGTACAGATGCTAATATCGTCTATAAAATAGAAAATCATAATGTTTGAGTATACTAGAAAATTATTTTGACCAAAAAATATTCTGTCTGTCACCTTATCATTTATTATCATTCTTGATGTGCCCCAGGGGGACATCTGGTTTCAAGAGTTTTTGACGTTTTGCGAAGCTTTCATCAACCTACTAGGTGACATCCTCGCCTCAGTGCATACTTCAATTTGAATTGAGCTTTTAGATTTCTCCACGAGTTTATTAATCATCCCTCCTGGTGACCTGACCTTAAACGTGATTGGTTGGTTTTGTGTATTTTCACATCCTCTGAGCTGCTTGTATTGAAACTGATTGTTTCCTTGACTTGAATTTCTACTCTTTGTGTGTGTGAGGTTTCCTTCTTATCGATTGGTAAATTTTGTTTATTTCGATGTGTCTACGGATTGATGAATCACTTGTATACCAGGCAGGCTTCCAAAAATTCCCTGGCATTCTTTGTATTTCCTCTGTCTAATATTTGAACGTTGTCCCAGTTGAATTGATGTTTGTGGTTGTCTGTATGTAGTGATATGAGAGAGTGGATGTCATGTCACCGCATTCGACAACCGATAAGAAAGAAACCTCACACACAAATTTCAAGCCAAAGAAATAATCAGTTCTAATACAAGTGGCCTACAAGGTACAAAAACAAACGAAAACAACCAACCACATTTAAGGTCAGGTCACCAAGAGAGGTGACTTATAAACTATTGGAGAAATCTAAAAGCTCACTTCAACGAATTGAAGTATCCGCTGAAGATTTCGCCAAGTAGGGTGATGAAAGGTTTGCAAATAAACTATCCAGCTCAGAGAACACAACCACATCAAAATCATGCAACTGAGCTACAAATCTTCTCCATCATATCTATAGGGTAAGGTTGCTAGACTCACCCTCAGCCTTCCCTCTGTCCCAGAGTTACTATCTCCTGGCAAGCTGAGTGATGCTCCTAAAGGGTACCACACAGGAATCAAATCCGGATCTTCCGTGTGACTGCCGATCATTTCATCACCGAACCATTGACACAATCTCCATATCATGGCGCGATACCTTGAATGAAGTGTTGGTCGGGAGCGATTCTATGCGAGCACTTATGACTTATAACCAGCCTTCATCATGATTGTTGTCCTAATATGGTGTCACATTCTGTTTTAGTGAATAATGCCTCAGATGTCATCCAGAATTGTTAGTCACATTAAAACGGAATATTTTGATGTGACTAAGGAATTTCAGTGATGTGAAACATTCCTTAGAATATAACATAGTTCTACACTCGATATATATCTAAAAAGCCGGCTGATATCTCACAAACTATTTCATGCAAGTGTACTGCCAGTTTCGATTGTATGATTGTCAGTTATACGCTGATACTGTGGATTTTTGACTTTAAAAATGATTGCGAATTGGAATGACTAATCCTTCACAGTCTAGAACTCGATTGTTGTAAATTTCTAACATCAACTAATTTATGAATTATCAAAATCTCATTGATTTACTTTCCCGCTGACTGACTGAAACTAAATGCTTGACTTCAGGTTGAGATGTTGGCTCCTTGTGTGTAGATGTTTTGGCGATATCTGGGGATCAATTTCAAGCAATTTGGTGGATAGTGACTAGTAGTGGAATCCAGGAGTCGCACCTCGTCCACTTTGGGACTCGTCATTTAGACGCGTCTGTATTCCGCAGTGAGTGATGGTGACGCTACTGAGGCTCAATCCCAGTAATCGTAAGTTCAAACGCCAGAGCGCTACGCATTAAACCATTCGGGCCATGAGAGCTACCTACTGTGCAACGGGTGTCAGCAGTTATTCAATTTAATTTGGGAAAACTATGACTGTGTAGGGAATGCAAATACATCCAGTTGATGAGTCGCAACTAGGACGAAATGCTGGTCATGGATTCCCCTACTAGTCACTATCCATGAAGTATTTCTCAGAACTATCTACTTTACTGCGAACAAGCTAAAATATATATTTCCCAAAGTTCCCTTCAATTGGTATTATATGACTAATCAAATAGTTGGAGATATTAAATGCTTCAGATATTACTAATCTAACAAAAGTAATATATATATAAATGTTTGCAAGAATAATAAATTTATACATTCATACATGTAACATCATAAAGAATAAATTCAATGGAAATTTTTTTCTCATCGTATCTAATATGGCCAACAGAATAAACAATATCGCCTCAACAGGCCCACTGAAATGAAGAGAAATCAGGGAATGTCTATATCGGATATATGATTGATAAAAAAGAACATGAAATTAAGAATAAACATTCATGAATTAAATGATTTTGTATGAATAATGTTGGGGCGATCCTGTTAACTTATTATCAGAGTTGCTTTGGATTCCACTGTGTTATGTATGATCTATGTCGCCAGTTGAAATGAACTTGTCACCAATTGATATGATAGCGTCGACACCTGGTTTGACCAAGTGGACTCATACACGTGGGGGTACGGTACTACCAACGCAATGAGCAACTCAGGTAATCTGATAAGTACATATATTCACTCGTGGTACATTGCGGTTCACTGAGCCACGTAAATATGAGAACAAAAGACTGACCTGTGTGACTGTTAGGATACAATTTTACTAGGGAAGCACTAGTCATATTTATATATCTTTTGTCAACACAATAAAATCCGCCAAGGGCAGCGGAAATGGATTGTTCTGATTAGTAGGCGATTCAGCTAACGTTGGCGACAAATTAATACTCTGATTGACTGGCGATTTGACCAAGATTAAGGTAAGAAAGGGATGATGACATTCGACAGTCAACCAATCACACGATGAATTCTATGATGATTTCTGTTTTAAGACGATTCCTATGACCCTGTCTGATGTTATACATCCTTCGATTCGCTAACTATTACACAGAAGAAAACCTCATGCAATTGTCAAAATGCCAACAGATTATGGAAACGCCGAGGGCTGTATAGTAGTCCTGCAGCTAATGAAGTGCTTGACTTAGGAGAGTGCTTCCATTGCCCGCTTTTGAGAAGTTTTCAATGAATTAACTAACTTGCACGTAGAATTATCACTTTCTCATTCGTAAGAAAAACTGCTAACCTATGCGTCTCAGTGTTTTAATATTTCACATGATTTATCGCGATTTATTATCTGAAAATGCGTTGTATTTTGTGGCGATATGGACTGCAAAATACATCGTCGTTAATTTGTAGAGCATACCACTTTCATTTCATTCATTGGGTTCATTGAAAACATCTGAAGAATTTTCGCCAACTCATGCGTTTCCCTGTATTCCGTCTGGAGATTTATTACTTTGAATATTCATTAAGTAGTTACAAGAGCCATGCGTCTTGTCTATCTTTTGATGCAAAGTGAATTCTACCAGATACGTTTGTAATGTGGTCATCAATTTAGGTGACTCACTATCGTGATTCACTCTGAAATGTTGATAGATAGTTGGAAACAGTCGGCAGGAAGCCACTGACCTCAGTTTCATGTTTGTTGGCACTCATCAGATGGAAATTTCCGAAATCTTAGATTAGCTCACTTTGTACCTCAGATTCGAATCAATGTGCTGCAGTTAGTGACGTTGCCAGTGAACCTTACTGATGAGTCCTGATAAGTACGAAATCTAGATCCAGTGTTTCCTGCCTATTTCCACCAGTCATCTGACTTCAATTCAAGGATGTATTAGGCTAAGTGAAGTTTAACAATCATGTTCAGTCGAAAACAAGCCAAATTTGTGCTAAAACTTTTGAAAGATCAAACTTGAGTTTCAGAGAGTGTGATGATCTTTCCATTAGCTGTTTCTTTCATCGAAGTTAGACAGCTCTCAGATATGCATATCGTTCTCTGTCTTGTAAACGACTGAACACTTCACTTTCATCTATTTCCGTCTGACGTGATATCATGTTTAAAGTATAGTTTACAAAGGATACTTAAATACAAACATCACTAAGCTTGAGACGTCAGTATCACAAATCAAATGAATCTATGATCTGACAGAAACATTAAAATCACTCTATAAAATAAAACATTAAAAGAGAAACATTCTGAAATGGTAAATGCATTGGAAGGCAAATTCTCAGTACACAGTGATGGATAGGAGGTAAATCGGCAGCGAAGTTGATTCCGTTTTTGGTCTGAAAAGTAAGCAGTTAGTTATTCTGGTCGACCTACATTTGTGTCATTGCAAGTGGTATGGGTGTAGTGATGATGGACATCAGAATAACGAATAATAGTACCTGTAATTGGCGGGCAACTTCATCAAGGAGTTACGTTGGCTCACCTTTTTCATGTGCTCATCCATAATTTTTTGAATTGTAACGTATATATTCAATGCTCTTCTAATACTCTTCTTATCTCCACTGACAATTCTATCAAATTCTGGAATGATGAATAAATTGATGTTCATTTTTGGAATAAAAGTGTATACTACTGATTGATTGTAGTGAGTAATCGCTTAACACTCATATCAACTAGCAGTGCTTGCTAGTTAGGTTGAGGTGATCAATCCACCGAAAAGCCGTTCTCCTCATTTGGGGCCATGCTCATCAGCGGTGTATCCAGTTTGACTCATCTCATACAGCCGAATCAATTCAAACCACTGGATCTCCGAATAGCTACTTAGGCGAACTGGTGTTATCACAAGTCAAATTCACACTTTGGCATGACCAGTTCGCTGAAGTAGCTAGCCGGAGATCCGGTGGTTTGAAATGATTTGGCTCTGTAAGATGAGTCAAACTGGGTATACCTCTGATGAGCTCAGCCTTAAAATGAGCGATACAGCTGTTCTGTATTTTAGGATCACTTCGAAGTGGCTACAAAGCAATATTTACTCATGCGAGAGATCAACAACTACTAATCTCAGCAGATATGCTTGTTATCTTGCTGATCATCTATGGGGTCAAACAGATCACGTACTGTGGTGATCTGACTAACTTGATTTCCAAAGGAAACTACAGTGAAATTTCACCTCTTGAACTGTGTAGATAGCAAATTGCAAACCAATCTGACATTTGTGAATTTGATTTCTAATGAAAGTGAATGTAAGCCTCAATAGAAGTACTTGTAATCATGAGAATTTAAAATTATGGGGAAGAAAATATTTCCATTCTCCAATATCTTTGATTGGACACTAGTTAGTAACTAGTGTGATGTGTCTAGTCCTTTCTTTGGTGCAGACTGATTTCTATCAGTCAGTCAGGTATGTAATGTGGCCACCATTCTAGGTAGCTCGCCAACACGGTGCACACTGATTTGATGATATTAGATGGTTAGAATTCAGTCTGCACCACAGAGAGGACTAGACACTTCACACTAGTTACTACTCTCCATTCAAATTATCCCCTACAGTCCTACAGGAGGTCAATCGCGAGCCAGACCGAATAACTCAGTGGTAGCGTCTCTGACTGCAGCTCCCACTGGGTGAAGCAGTTTCGAATCTCAGAAGGGACGTGAGTTCCTTCAAGGCTCCAAGTCTTCCTTCCGATTTCCTCCAACCATCTCATTCTCCAAAATTATCAGTAAATAAACTAAACAACATTGAAGAAGAAGTTTTGGTCATTTCAGTGGAATATAGTTCCATATAAGGCAAGTACACCTGATATAACCACAGAGTGATACAGTAATGTTAACTGTATGATGCATTCATTCCGCTTTAATCTCAGCATACCTCTAAGTTCTTCAAGGACATAAATTCAATAGTAGGTGAATTTCAGTTTACTTTCAACTCAGAAAATCAACAGAGTGAGTTGTCTATCCCAAACTGGCTAGTTAGATACCAGCATCTATAAGAAACTGTCACCTTCTCATAGATGCGAAGACTTTGAATCAGGGCAGTGAAAATTGATAAAGGCAGGTTTATTTAAGTTTTTATGCAGTCATACCAGAAGCCTAAACTACAAATCAGGGAATTTAAATGAATAAGTAACTTCGCACTGAATTTTACTCAAAAGAAAAATAAAATTAGAAATGAAAATGGTAAAAAAATAAATAAGGGGTAATACATCTGCCATATTTTAAAATATTTTTTTACTCCTTTACGTTCACAGTGGAACATGGGGCTTTAAGCTACAGGCTTGAAGTTTCTGTAGCAGTTGTGGTTATTTTTACAGGATGGGGTTTCTAGCCTCATGCCTAACCATCCCTTTCTGATAGTCTTAATACTGGCTTAGTGAGGTAAAGGAGTTCATCGGCCGAAGATCGATCCCCGGACCACCTCTATGATTGGTGAGCACTCTACCACTGTGCCACCGACGCACACATTTGCCATATAAAGAAGGAATATCAGATACTCTGTGTAAAATTCTCAACAACACTGGAAATGAGGCAGCATTTAAATCAACGAGCCCACTCAGAAACAAATTTTGTCAGCCTAATGGCTCTTAAGATTTAGTTAGTAAGCAAAGTATAATTTACTAAACTGGTGTCAGGCCAATTCCTGGAACACAAGAGTTTTCAAGTGGTATTTTCAAATGGTCTAAATACATATTTTATGACTGTCAACACCCTCTCTATTCGCAATTCTTCCTGACTTGCGTCTCATCAGACAGGACTAGAAGTCATCATAAAAAAGATTATATGGTCACACAACCAAGTAAAGAAACTCAACGATACCATATTTAACATGCGTCCTATGAGACAGCGATAATGTTAAGAGCGAAACCTACGACTTATTATGTTATTAGCCAAAATAGTTGGCTCTTTCATCCTCTCGTATTTGTAATCAGTGGTGAGACTGTTTCAATTCACTTATTATGTAGCTGTTAATCATTACTAATATCATTATTTCACGCCTTTTGCACAAATACATCACACCATATTTTTGAGATAATCTCCATCTTCTAATAGAACTATCCAAACTTATTAAAGGGATTCGCTGTTATTATTTATTTTGATACGTTGGCTTTCCAAATGGAACATAGAGCTTCAGGCTTTTAAGTCTGGGTGGCAGTGATGTTTATTTTTTCTTTTTATTTGATGAGGTTGCTAGGCATACTCCCAACCATCTCTCTTTGCTGGGATTATCAATGGTTAAGCAAGGCTGAGGAGTGCATTGACAGGGAATCGAACCCAGGACCACTTACATGGTTGCTGAATGAGTATTCCCTCACTGAACCACTGACGTACTGAACGAATTAGTTATTCTGAATTTAACACAGTGAATGAAGCAACAAGAAACATAACGGTAGAGAAAAAAAACACTGGATATAAAACGCAAGAAACCATGAGGTATAAGACGAATTGAGTATATTTACAAACGCATGAGGAGAATGTTATGAGCAATAATTATACAAAGATACGCTTACCTGATTTAATTTCTATGGTAGCATCAAAATCATGTTGATTCCAGAGTATTTATAGCTTATCTGATCTGTGTTGTGCTGCATACTTATGTGAGTAAAGTACGCATCTCACAAAGTTGTTCTGTTAAATGGAGAAGAAAAAGCGTGTGATGAATAGACTTTAGTCATCGTGTATGAAAATTAATTTGTGAACGTTATGAATGCGAAGGAAAAAAATAAAAGACCTTTATACTGTTATTTTTCTCAGCCTGTTTTTAATAATTAAATATTATAAAATATTTTATTTATTCCTTGAGATCAAAGTGGAACACTGGTCTTCACGAGCATATTTCCATTGTGCTCATGATCTAGTTCAAGTCACTCTTAGATGTCCAATTTGTCGCTTCCCATTTGACTTTTTTATTCAAGGGATTTTTATTTTGGTGTTAGTTCAATGTCACTAAGTGTGCTCCAGTGGTCCAGAGATAGAATGCTCACCGAATATCAATGTGGTTAAACTTCCAGACGAAGCACTTCTAAGCCAGTCTTAACCCTGTAGTAGGCCTAGTAAAGAGGAAAGTTTGGGCTTGAGACTAGCAGCCCGAACCCATGCTATTTATGTCTGTTATATCTTTTTCCACAGAAAATCACAATTGCTTTATGAACTTTGAGGTGATCAGAAACGATATCTGATCCCTGACCTATGATTTATTTAGGTGTTTTCTGGAGATTGTAATCCTCAGAGTAGCAGAGTAAAATTTCTTCTTCAGGCACTTGGAAAGACGATTTTTGAGGATTTCAGCCTAGACATCATCTCTGAAATCTAGGTTCATGAAGAGAGATTTCCTAGCCACAGTTAGACCCAGTGGCAGTGGCGATTTCCCCCACCCCCAATTTTTGAGTTAATAAATCTATGTGGATATCGATTTTGTAATAAGGTGTCAAGAAGAGGTTCCAGCACAGTCTTTACTGTATGTTTCGACCAGACCATTCAAATCTTCAGGCTCAGAGAACGTACTAATTCTTGTTTTGAGACTGGTGGGAATTAGATATACTGTAAAGACAGAAGACAAGGGCCAAGAAACAGATCGTTTATTGAGAAAATCAACAGATATTTATAGATTTTTATGTACACTATTGCCAGTGGAGAAGCAACGCCTTCTGATTGGTTGTTTTCTTGCTGAAGTTTATTCTCTTTTTGTGACCGTTTCTCAAAATACCAAACTATATGTCTGTGAATCATATTTCCACACTATAACTCGACTGTGATTTTCACCTTCTTGAAAGTGCTTTGTCTGAATGAATGCTCCGATATCAATTTACGAGTCTCTTTATTTATCAGATTCGGGCAGGTAATTCCACTTGGAAATTGTCGAACTGTATTCTTTGTTGACAATTAGTTGTGTGAGTAGATGGCCGCTACAGCTGATTGACAAATAACGTAGCTTGTCAGCAGATAGTGTCGTAAATAAAACTGACAGTCAAGTACCATAGGAAATGATAGAAGGATTATTGATCTCATTTGGAGTTAGAAATGTGAGCTGTGTACGCTAAGTGAAATTATTTTACCGTTTAAATAAGTCTCACGCTTTGATTCTGGGTACACCTACCTCTCAAGGTTATTCTGTATCTTTCCACTTTATTATTCACCAATAAACACATTTTAATTACTTCAATAATTTTGAACTTGTTCCCATTCAACCTTGTCTAGAATTTAAACCAGTCCTTTGGTCGAGACATAAGGAAAGTTGAGTTGGGAATGGCTACTGAGAATTCAAGGTACAGAAGAAATAATTTAATTCTTCACTGGAATTAGGGAGACTTCTCAATTTGAAGGTGTACATCACCAAACGGTGTAAGCCTTCAGGAAAATATGTCAAGTACACTTTGCTCATTGTTGTCCTGTAACGATCGGATATCTCATGATTGTTCCCACTCAAAGATTTACTTTCTCTTAATTGCAAACCCTTTGGTATGTGTTCAGAAAAATCTACGATAGGTCCTTATCTCTGTACTTCCAATATATCTTCTTCGAAAGATACACGTAACTGAGCAGAGCAAACATGAGACATCTGGCTGACACAAGATATCAAGCAGATA